GGATGGATGGATGGATGGATGGGATGTTGCATTATTGGATGGATGGAAGGAAAGTAGGTAGGAAGGAAAGAAGGATGGATGATGGATGGCAGGAAGGAAGGAAGGAAGGAAGGAAGGAAGGAAGGAAGGAAGGAAGGAAGGAAGGAAGGAAGGAAGGAAGGAAGGAAGGAAGGAAGGAAGGAAGGAAAGGATGTTGCATGGATGGATGGAAAGAAGGAAGGTAGGTAGGATGGAAGGAAGGAAGGAAGGATGGATGAAGGATCAGTAGGAAGTTAGCGATGGTCACTAAGGAGATCATCTCCTCAGACGTATTTTGTTTGTTTTCTACAAACCTTTGATGGACCTCTCCTCAGTCAGATGTTCCGGACTTCTTGGTACCAAAGGACACTGCAGGCGGGTCCAAACTCTGCTGTTTAGTCAGCTTCAGGTTCTGATCCCATCCGTAGTGTTAAAGTTAAAGGATCATGTAAATGTTGCCTCGCAGCGTGAAGGTCCTCGGTTGAATTCCCATCCGTAGAACGCCCCTCATCATCACTGGATCGAACACATCCTGAGGCCGACTGAGTCTGAGGTGGACCTGGAGGGTATCTGTCGCTTCTCTGAGCCTTCAGATGGATCCAGGTCCGCTCATCGCTGTGAACCATCGAGCCTCTGATGGTTCAAAGATGTTTGTTGGATTTAACCCAAACTGATGGATGAGCTCGCTGCCAGGCGGCACAGAAAGGAAAATCAAAGCTTCTCTCAGCTGCTGATCATCTATCAGCTAAATCTCTAATATTTCATCTTCCCTCATTAACTCAACAGAAGTTGTCGGTCTAAAGCCTCGCTGTGTCTGTCCCTGCTGTGTTTGCTTCCTTCCAGCAGCTGTTTGCTGCTTTCAGGACTCTAAGGATCCTGATGTCTCACTAACTCCACCTCTCTGGACGAATGGTTGATCTTAAATACCAGGATCTGTTCATGACTCTGCAGTTCAGGTTCATGCTGATCAACTCTCATACATTATGGCCTTCAGGAATAATTTTTAAAGAGCACAGTTGGAGAATGAAGCCTCCTTCTGTTTCTGTTAGTGTTTTATACAATGTTGCTGAAGCATCTAAAGGTAAAGGAATGAAGAGCAGCGTATGGAGCATCAGGTTCTGTCTTTTTTTCTTCTTTTCTAGCCTGTTTGGTGTAGATTGTGCATGAAGGTGGTAGATGAAGCAGATTTCCCTTCACTGCTCTGCTGGTGCATAGGTCAGAGTTTCTCTAAGATGACAAAAGCTGGAAGCTTCATAGACAGGAACCAGCAGACCTGCTTCATTTTCTCACATCCTTCGCTCAAACACTTCAGCAGCTCAGATCCTCTCTTCATCTATGGGCTGCTGTGTAGATGGCGTGTTACCGTCTGTCCTGGCGGAGTCATGAGAGCAGCAGAATAATGGAGGCTTGTTTCCACTCTCCTTCCCAATTAGCTCGTCCCTCGTGATGTCTGCCATCCGTCCTTTAGCCATCAGAATGTTGTTTTTAAGAGCAGGGACGTTTCAGAGCTGTCTTCATTCCTCCCACTGTCTGAGGAGAGAGTCTGTAGATTTATTCTGGGTCTGGATGTTCAGGTTCTCCTGCTTGAAGGTGAAGCTCCTCCTCAGTCTCAGGGCTTCTGTCGGTTTTCCTCCAGGCTGCCATCTCCAGGTCTCCTTCCAGCGAGTCAATGAAGGTCCATCTGGGTCTGATCGCTGAAACAGAACCTCTCATCTTTCTCTGAGCCGTTGTCCCAGCAGGTCTGCAGGTGGTCCTTCCTCTCTCCGTGTTCAGATTGATCAAAGCTTTGGGAGATGGTTCTGGAACAGAACCCTGCTTTAAACACAACCAGAACCTCCTTCCTGACCGGCCTGCTGGAGGAAAAGAGATCTGAGCGCTGATTAGAGCTCGATGCTGGTTTTATTTGGGTGTAATGGAGTAAAGGGGCTAAAAATAGTTTTAAAGGAAAAGTCCGCTCATATTCAGAATTCAAACTTCTGAAAGTTATTTAAATCTGAAATTATTCCATACTGTTCAATAAATGATAAGTGTTTTTAATTAAGAGTATTTTTTTTAATTTGAATGTGCTTTACTGGAGGCATCCATGTTTGTCAAAGAACACTACTGCCACCTACTGGTTTGTGACGTCACAGTGCGGTATCGGCTGTTGATCAAGTCCCAATGCTGTATCTTGTGTTTGTCACAACGCGCTATTAACCAAGTCATCTTGAAAACATTCTTCTTCCAAATGTTGGCTGGTTGAAGTCCTCTGGAAATCTTCAATAATTGTTGTTGATTGCAGATGTGTCTAGTAGTTCCCATTGATTTTGCTTGTAAAGCGGGGAGAATGGCGCTAGGCTTACCGCACCGTGACGTCACTGCTGGAAGATGGCAGGAGGGAGGGGTTACTATATTTGGGCAAAAATGGCCGCTCCCAGACTCAGTGATTGCCACGAAAGTTTTTTTTTTTTTTTTTTTTTTTTTTTTTACTGATTAACACAAAATTCATTGAATCACTGTGAACATATTAGTTTTAGGTATAAATAATGATCATAGCTGATGGAGGAATGAGGTGAAGCTGTGCAGTGGAGGGGGGTGTCTCGGTGTCTTTGTTGTTGTGATCTGGTTTTGTTTGGATCTGGATCCTTCTGGTCTGTCAGTGTTACAGGTTTAATCTTTCTCTTGTGATCTTTAGCTCCATCTTTCTTTCTGTTCTTTGTAAGGTTTTTATTTTTTGTTCTTGGTAGATCCCTGTAGGCTAATTATCAGGATAATCTGCCTTTTTCTAACAGCTGTTCTGTTTTGGTTCTGGTTCTTTGAATCGTCTCCCGGCAGATGAAGCTGGTTGGTTCTTTACTCAGTTCCTTCTTCCTCCTGCTACAGTTGCTCCGCTCTTCTCTTCTTGCCTCCTGCCTCTAACTGAAACTAAATCTTAGCAGTCAGCACACCAGCCGTCCTTCTCTTTTGGGTCCGACTCCTAGGATTTCAGGAATTAGTACGTTGGGAGGAGTTCCCCCTCAGCGCAGTGGCCCTGTTCTGGACCCTGGAGTGGAAATACTCATACTCAGGAAAAAAGGTGAAGCCTCTCTTTGAACGATGCAGCTGTAGCTTCTTATTCCCCCTCCTGAGGAAGCCCTGATTGGAGGGCAGTGAGGAGATGATGGCGAACCTTCATCTGTGGCTGCCCTCCATCTTTCTCTGTTCTTTTACGTTTGCTCTCCTCTGTCTCTTCAAACTGATGCTTCAGTCTGTCCTGCAGCTCTGGTAGGTGGCGGAGATCCGCAGCGCCACGCCATGTGATGCAGCCTGCTCTGTTTCATCAGCAGAGCTGAATTATGAGCCGTGCGTTCCACGCAGTGCATGTTACTCTCTAGTTTATATCCTGCAGAGACGGCACCATTCTGATCTACTGATGATCCCCGCTGGGCCAGTCTGCCAGGGGCATGTAGGACACTCCTGGCAGGGTCAGTGGGAGGTGTCTAAGGTGTGTTTGGGTATTATGAACCCAGAGACCTTGAACTCAGCTGTTCTAATGGTGCAGATCCCCACAAACAGATAACTACTCCGATTTCAGGCTGTTTTCCTGGCGGCCTGCTGCTGTTAATGATGCTGGGCCGGGGATCAACCAGCAGCTGTGTGCTTCAGTTTCCCTGCAGCAGCAGCTCAGTTGTAGGAATTTGGCACATGACCTGCAAGCAGAGCTGCATAGCCCACATGTTTTCCATCCCACAGGGGCGGGGCCGGTCCAGACTGTCTGAGTCTGTGAGCGTCGCCGGGCTTCATTACAGTATGTGGGGCAGATTTAGTAGCACGTTATCGTCAGCCTTCGTCTTTATGCTTTTGCCAGAATCAACCAGTCAGGAATGAAATAGTCCATTAAAAGCAATGGTTTATTGCTACACTATTTATCTGTGTTTTTTCAACGTCTTCCTCATCCGCTGAACTCTTATCCTCAATAAAGGCCTGAATGTGGTAAACATTGTTCATCATCAACATTTATAGTGGTTGGAAATGTGTGAAGGAGCTCCAGGCTAAAGCTCTATCTATTACTGGGTACGCCCTGACCAAGATGGAGTCTGTCAGAAGGACCAGTCCGCCTCTTGAACATCCAGACTTTTTAATTTGGCAGAAACATAATCTTATCAGATTACGTTTCTGCGGTGAGAATTTCTGTTTTTGTTTATGCTTTTTTTTTTTTTTTGACTCAAACATGAAAACGATCCTATTTTCCTGCTTCCTGTTCATGTTGTAGAGTTGTCTGAGGAGGGACGCTGGGGTTATCGGCGACCTACATGAGCTGGACCAACAGATCAGTGACCTGCGTCTGGATGCTGAGGTGTCACATGACCCGCCGGAGACGGACAGCCGACCCAGCTCAGGTAGGACCTCAGAAAAATGTTTCATTTTAAACGTTACAAGAAACAAGATTTTAGAGCTAAGATGCTTGGTAAAGGTTTGTTGGTCATAATCTGGTCGGACCTTTTCTCTCCACCAGGTTTCTATGAGCTGAGTGACGGTGCCTCCAACTCGCTGTCCAACTCGTCTCACTCCGTCTTCAGCGAGTGCTTCTGTTCACCAGCTGAGGCTGAAGGACACTTCCTGTCCACAGGTACCTCCTGCTTTTTGATCCGGTCCGGTTCTGCTGCTGGACATGTCGTTCAGACAGTAGAACAGGGGGGGATTTAGGACATTTGGGGCCCTAGGCAAAGACAGGAAGGAGGCCCCTCTGAATTGAAAAGACAACAGCTAAACAGACCCATTCTACAGATAGAGAAATGTTAATAGAATAGACATCCATTATCTGTTCTAGGTTTTGTCCCTTTTCTTGTTGTTTTCCTCTCTATGTTTTGTACTCAGCTGACTTTTCATGCTGTCTCAAAAGAAATAAAATATTTTTTTCCAAGCACTAAGCTCACTTAGCTGATTGCTCCTTCCTGTGTTTCCAAAAAGGCAAAAGTAAATAACTCAGTCCTTCTTTTCACTGTAGACAAGCCATGATCTGCTTATCTGTTCTCCATTTTACATTTGGATGAAATAATAGCTGCATGAATCATGACAGCAGACAGATGGAGGAGAGCAGGAGGCGGGGTTACCAATCTACTGGCTCTGGAGAGCAGAGTTCGCTGCTTTTAGATGTTGGCGCCAAAGTCTCCAATAGCAGAAAAAAGACACACTTAATATTATAAGGCATTTTAGTCAAAGGATTTTTTATCAAAAACATAATTAATGTGCACAAATGAGGAATAGTTGTATTAACCATACATGTAAAGAGAGTTTTATGGGGCCCCCAGGAACTGCCTAGTATTGCCTAATGGTAAATCCCCCCCTGCCTGGAAGGACACCTGTTGTTTAAACAGCTGTCCTCAGAGCCATCGTGGCTCTTTAAACCCAGTCAGGGATTCTAAGTCAGGGCTGAAATCACAGCTTAGGTTTTGGTTATAAGTAGGAAGGATTGCAGCTTAAGTAGGTAACATGTCGGACAGGTTTAATGAGGACTGAACAGCCAGCAGTGGGTGTGGGAGGGGCTCATGCTGGAGTTTTTCCTCTCCACTGTCGCTACAAGCATGCTTAGTGTGAGGGATTGCTGAGGAGTCAATGAGTCGATGCAATCAGCTGGTTTTCCTTAGATAGAAAACTTTGAATCTGGATGATCTGGTGAACTGGAAAGTGCCTTGAGATGACATGATGTGAATTGGCGCTATAGAAATAAACTGAATTGAATTTAATGATCAGAGCGCCTGAGAAGTTAAGTAGTGAAGTGACTTCTAGTGAAAATGAACATCATTAGATATTAAAGACTTAACAGAAATAGAAATGATAAATATTGTTTATTGTCCCACAGTGGGGAAGTTACTGTTTTTATCAGCAGAGTGAAACATAAATGAAAGCATGCTGTTAGAAAAAGATGTGATTTTTGAAAGCCACATTGGCTTATTTATGCTTTGAAAAACAAAAGCAAGCTATTTGCAAGAAAAGAAAAACTGCAGAGACTTAAGCGGCTTCTGGAGCTCATAAGGAGCAGTTGTGAATCTGAAGTCCATCTGCAGCTGGGAGGAAGGATCTGTGTTGGTACTCATGTGTGTTCATAGGAGGCAACGGTCCGTCGCTGATCTGTGTGTTATTAACTCTTCTTTCAGCGGCACAGAAGCTGCCCTGCAGAAGATGGCCGATGCCCACAGAGTCAAAGAATCTTTTATCTGCAGTCCAGATAATGAACACAACTACTAGTCGTTGTGTTTGCTCTATGAAAACTGGTTGAGAAACATGTTTATGTTGCTGACTACGTTTGTGCTGATGGGGAAGAGTCCATGTGGAGATCAGGGATCTAAGGAGAACATCCGCGCTTCCGCACACAGTCCAGTTGTTTCCCAGAACCAGTTATTAATCCAGTTTGTCAGGAGTCCGCCTGCAGCCGCAGCTGTTCTAAAAGAGCAGCAGGACTCTGCTCGTTAGCGAGCCGACAGTCGACGCTCATAAGTCCACCTTTCACCAAGTCCAAGTCAGGTTTCCAGTCTCCAGTGGCTGAAATAAAGATCCAATCAGCTACTGCTGCTCTGTTTGCCCTCTGGCCTGATTTATCTCACAGCTTTTTCATTAAACCTGCTTAATCTCTTAACTTTAATTCACTTCTATCTTATTTTCCTGCAGTAAGCTGCTCTGAGCTGTTTAAAAAAACCTTTGACTGATAAAGAAAAAAGGTCACACAGTTTGAAGTATGAATATTTATTCCTGAATAGATAACAGAAGGGGCTAAACATCTGCTGAAGCTACGTTCATGAACTGATGAAAGTGAAATGATCCAAGAATAGACCTACTTTAGTGAGTAATTAGTCTTCCAGTAATGAGAGTAAATGCTGAAGGGGATGAGGGGCACACACAGGGTTAAAGTTTCCAGCTCTCTGTCTCCACTGAGAGGAATTTTCCACTTACTAATGCCTGCGTGTTCATTGTGCAGCCTAACCAAACAGAGTCCAAACTCACTCACAGACCATTGGAACCTACTTCCTGCAGGCTGCTGGCGCTCAGCCCTCACCTACAATAATGATGCTGCTTTCTGTGGGTCGGTCGGTTGTTGACGCCCAGAGGTCATGCTGTGTGTGACTCCGCCTTCTCTGTGTTCTGTTTTCAGACGAGCGGTCCAGCAGCCTGGAGTATGACGTTCTGGTTGGAGGACTCTGTGACGACTCCGTTTGCCGCTCGCTCTCCGCTCCTCTCCAGGCTCCTCTGGACGCTCTTGTTCCCACCGACTCCCCGGCTAAGACTTTCTGCAGCCTCTTTTCCAGAAACGTGGCTGATATTTACAGCCACAGAAGCCCTCTGCGCTCCGCGGCTCTTCAAGCTTCTGGTTCTCTGCAGGTTTCTGGGAGTAGAGGTGAGAGCAGGGATGAAGCTGGTGCTGAATGTCTCCAAACAGACATCTCCCCTGGTCCCAGTCCTGCTTCAGGACTTCAAAGCGGCGCCTCTCAAACTCCTTCCAGTAAGCACCTAGAGAGGTACATTTTTGGTCTGCTGCAGCGGAGGGCACAGCCCATCCGGAGCAGCAGGTCCAGGACGGGAATCAGCACCGACCCGCTGAAGGGCATCGCCCGCCAGCACAGCTTCTGTTTGAGACAAGCATCTGGTCCCAGTCCTGGTACAGGAACCCTGAAGGGGTCCGAAGTAAAACCTCTGCCCACCCCTGGAGAAACCTCGTCAGAAGGTGTTTCCACCTCATCTTCTCAGAGACAATGTTGTGTAGAAAGCAGAGATGAGAAGGGCTCTCTGAGAGTTTCCCCTGATGGCGCCGACATGGTGCCAGTCAGCTCTAACTCCACCTCCCCTGCTGGTTCAAAGTGCTGTGTCACTAATCGACTCAGAAACAGCAGCAACAAGAAGGTCCTCAGCAAAGCATCCAGGGAGCTCCCAGGTCCCTCAGTCCAGACTCCTCTCCAGAACAGCAGAGCTCAGAAAAGTCTCAAACTTATCTCCTACCACAGAGACTCCTGCTGTCCCCTTGAGCAGGAGGAGATCCTCCAACCTCCTCTAACCTCTAAACCACAGACTGGTTCCTCCAGGAAGAGCTCTGAGCTCCTGCAGCGCGGACCTTCAGAGAACGGCTTGGAGCTGCAGCTGTCCGTCTCAGAGGCCTCTGTGGTACGAAAGGGTCATGCGAGTAACGGCATCGCTGCCAAGCAGCACCATGGGAAACATGGCCATGGTAACAGCAGGAAGGTTAGCAAAGTGAAAAGCGCCAGCAGGTCAAACACAACGTCTGCTTCTGAACTTAAGAAGCTGCCTTCAGAGAAAAGAGGCGATGGTTTCCAGGGTAACTCCGACCATGGAAGGTCTCATCCAGCAGAGGATGGGCGCTCCAAGCAGCTGAAGGTCTCCACCTCCTCTGGAGACAGAGTCCGAGACAAACATGTCAGCTCAGCGCTCGCCGCTGCCAGGTCAGGAGCAGTAAGGCTCCATCGATATGGGGCCGACCATCATCACCATAAACATAGACGCGAACAGGTGGTTGTTTCTGCCAAGCCAAAGATCAAAGGGAGAGTTTTCCAGTTTCCGCGTACCATGGTGGAGATACCGTACGACGGCGGGACCAAGCACTCCGCCCGCCGGCAGAGGAAGACGCTACAGAGTAAACCTGCGGCCACAACCTGCTCCACCTCCAGGGAGCAGCAGAGCGGCCCGTATGCCAACGCTGCAAAAAGTGACTCTGAATATTCGGCAGAATGTGTCTCACTCTTTCACTCCACCATCGTGGACACCAGCGAAGACGACGGCTCCAGCTACACCACCAACTGCTTCGGAGACAGCGAGTCTAGTGAGGAGGAGGAGGAGGAAAACGCCACCACTGACACTGAGGAGAGTGTGGGAGGCGGACCCGGGGGGGGCGGGGCAGGAGGTCATCTGTGGACAGCCCGGGTCACAGCGGGGAAGCTGCAAATGGATCCGGCTCAAACAAAAGCGCCGGTCAAGATTAAAGTGTCTTACAACCTGAAGAGGAAGATCCTCCGCTTAAGGTCGGGTTCACTGAAACTCATGACCACGGTCTGACCAGAACCAGAACCAGAACTGGACCTGGTGGGTGCCTAGAACAAACCAAGTAGCTGAACAAACATGGCTGTCGCTGTTTGATCCAGAAGCTAAGAGGCAGGAAGCTGCTCTGTCTCAGTGCAAAGTCAGGCCTGTTGTTTCCGTTTATCATCTTATTCAAATATTCATCTAAATGCTGATCAAAGGAAAAGCCCCAAAAACGCATAAAGGTGATGAACCTTTATCTTAGAAAGGATCCGTATCGACACACTTTCACTGCGTTTACGAACCGTCAGATTGATTTAAAAAAACAGATTCTATTTTGTTGTTTTTTATTTTTAACATTTAACAGTTTATTAGTATTGTATACATGAACACTTCACATTCAACATAACATAAAACCTTCGCTTGGGAGCTATTTCTCTATTTTACGTTTGTCCCATCTAGTTTATCTAGTTCTTGATTTTTTTTTTGCTGTCTTTTGTCTTGAATGTTTTCATCATGTCATCTCAAGGTACTTTCCAGTTCACCAGATCATCCAGTCTGATTGATTCAAAGTTTTCTATCTAAGGAAAACAAGCTGATTGCATCGACTCATTGACTCTTCAGCAATCCCTCACACTAAGCATGCTTGTAGGGACAGTGGAGAGGAAAAACTCCCTTTTAACAGGAAGAAACCTCCAGCAGAACCAGGCTCAGTGTGAGCGGCCATCTGCTGAGGCCGACTGGGGTTCAAGGAGACAGAAGCAGACATAGAAAAAGAAGCATAGATACAAAAGGCAACTGTAAAAAGCATCCAAATTCAGGAATCTGTCTTTTACCCTTAGTTTGATGTAATTGAAATATCATATCCCAGAATCTTCTTCAGTTTCATCTATATTTTTCCAAAATTGAACAATTTTAGGAAAGTTCCAAAATATGTGAGAATGATCGGCGCTCATTGATCCTCTATTACGCAAACACCCCATGTTTGTGTCCTTATATCTATTCTTGACTTTAGGCGTGATGAAAAATCGTGTTAGATTTTTTCCATGTGAACTCCCTCCATATCCGTGAGTTGGTGGATATCTGATTCGTTTTCCACATATTCAATCAATCTTCATTAAAACGTTTCTTTGATACACATGGTTGAATATTTATTCATCATCAGTTTATGATATAAAGTAGAGATTATTTTAATGTTTGTTCAACTGAATGAATTCATCACAGTATTAATCAACCCATTGACTTTCACAGAGGATCCCACCTGATCTGTCTTATAATAGTCTCTCCATTGCAGATACCTGTAAAATTCATGTTTATCTGAATTATATTTTCTTCATTTTTAGAAAATTATCCAGCTCCCCGTCTTTCTGAAGGCTGTGACCCCCTTGCTCATCCATTGTTTCAACCCTTTATCTTATATTGCTGGTTTGAAATTGCTACCAGATGCTACCCACCTGAGGTTTTTCATTTCTTTCTTTATCCTGTGCTGTATAACGTGGATAAACATTGTAAACGCTGAACTGGAAAAAATCGAAATCTAGATAAGTAATTTTTTTCTTGAAATAAGTGCATTTGTTCTTGAATTAAGGAGATAAAAGACCATTTAGATTTAAAATAAGAAAACATAATTGCATTTTCTTATTTCAAGTGCATATTCTCGAATTCTCTTATTTTAAGAGTAAAAATACTCATTCCATTGGCGAACTATTTCATTTAGCTATTCAAATTCGGGGTAAATACAGTTAATTTAAGAAATTTTTACTTCTTTCTAGATCATTTTTACAGTATTTAATTGGATTCATATATTTCTTGATCTTCTCATATCTATCTTCATCCCCAACAACACTTTGAATTTGGCTATCCTCCATATTCTTTCTCCATATTGTTCCACTTGGCTTTCTGTTTAGGTTTTTTAAATCCTAAATATTAGGGACTAAGTAACGAAACTGTCATGATTGGTTCTCTATAGTGACCCAATGATGCAGAACACCACTAGACGGAAACAGGTTGAAAGGTTTAACAGAGTTTATTTATATCAAGCACAATGAAACGAGTTCTGGTTCTGATCCTGGGAGACTGGTACACCGGAGTCTGTGGGGGACAGTTTAGTTAGCGGAGCACTTTGGAACTTGTCTTTTGGATTGTTTCTGGCATGTACCTTGAGGGTCCTTGAATAAGGCTTGGAGAGGAAGGTTGTTGGAACTGGAGAAGGTTTGGTTGCAGAGTCCGCAAGCTGTTTCAGCGTCTTGCTTCTCAGGAGGGAGCAGACCTTGGGTTTGAGTTTCCAGCTCTTGGTCCAGAGCTGCATGGGAAACCAGAGGGAGTCTTCAGGTTTGGCCCAGAGGGCAGGCTCGGCAGGTTAGCTCTTCCAGAGCTTCGCGGGAGAAAAACTGGTTTCCTGGAAAGACAGAGACAACGTTAGAATCCAGCTTGGATTCAAAAGGTCAACAAAGGTTCTCAGAGGTTCTAGGCTTAGGTGCTAACCAACTGGATCAACACTGCGGCGTTGAGGCAAGGTCTGAAGACAGCTTAAGTCAGTGGTTCTCAAACTTTTTCTGTCATTCCCCACTTTGGACAAGGGGGAATTTTCAAGCCCCACCTGTCCCCATCGCCCCAACACAATGGTAATGAAATATGCAACAATCTTAAAATGTTCCAATTTTATTGAACAAGTAGTATCTAAATACAAACTATCTACATCAAAAGCCAGCAAGCTCAAAAATAAAGAAAATAAAAATGCAGCTGTGTCAAAATTTGTATCAAGCTCAAAGATAGAAAAAATTAAAGTTCCACTCTGCAATCTGTTAATAAAAGAAAAGAAGTGAAATCCATCTGGCAAGACAGGTCTATTTATCCCTGCATCAGTGGCTGCAATGAGCCTGTTTTGCATTGCACAGTTTCTCAAAACGGGGTTGCAGGCTTGATACTGCCACTCTCAAGTCATGCTCAATGTTCAGCTGAGATCTGTATTTTGTTTTCAGTGAAGCAACAGCTGAAAAGCCCATCTCACAGAGACATGATGTGGCAAAGGGAAGAAGAATGCACACAGCTCTCTGCCCGATGAGTGGATACTCCCTCTCCACTCCTAACCAGAATTCACTATGAGTCTGAGCATTAAACCTGAGCCTCAGGGTGGAGTCAGACGTCATTTCAATAAACTGGTCCTATTTATTTAAGATAAAATATTTCAAATTCAGTTAATTATGATCAACCTGCGCCGTCAATCCCGGCGCATGTGCGCTTTATTTGCAGTCTGGACGCTGTGGTGTGTCTGACTGCAGCGCTGAGAGGGACTCCTGCGATAGCGGGGGAGAATGGGGTTGGGAGGGAGAAGGCGCCCCACGGCAGCACCTGCCGCTGGAGGACAAGAAAAGGAACGATACGTGCTTTCACGTAAGAGTCTCCAAAAGTCGCTAGATTTGTCGCTAGTCGCTTTTTTGAAAAAGAGTCGCTGGAGGGGTCTGAAATATAGCGACAAAGTTGGCAACACTGGGGCGCGAAAGTTTATTCCGTTACAAATAATATGCCGACGTCACGTCAATCATTATTTTGGCACTTCAGTTCCAGGTGAAATTTTTCTCATATCTAATGTTCTTTTAATTAGACTGTATGTAGGCTAGTAAGGATTACTTTGTGGGTTTGATTGGTCTAAAAAGCGGCAACATACAGCTATAAGGACAGTTTGCTCTCACACGTTCTACATTTATAGTCACACGACACACACACACACACCGGAACTTGGCGCGCCCCACCTGTCACGTCTCAATTCCCCACCAGTGGGTCGCGCCACACACTTTGAGAACCGCGGGCTTAAGTAGTGGATCCTCTGATGATGGTAACGAGCAGCAGCTGTGCAGGAGGCTCTGCTCAGGAGGATCCACGGCGGACTCTGCTGGAGAAGGGTGGAACTTCTCCAGCCTCCAACAGTACCCCCCCCTCAACGACCGCCCCTTGGCGGTCCGGAGGAAGTTGATGGACAGGAACGCTCGTACTCCTCGATTAGGGAAGGATCGAGGATGTAAGAGCCAGGAACCCACTGACGATCTTCTGGTCCGTAGCCCTCCCAGTCGACGAGGTACTGCCAGCCGCGACCTCGCCGACGGGAGTCCACTATGCGACGGACGGTGAATGCAGGATGGCCATCGACTTCCAGGGCGGGTGGTGGGGGGTCGGATGGTGGGCACAGGGGGCTAGAAACCACGGGCTTAATCTGAGAAACGTGGAAGGTGGGGTGTATGCGTAGAGTAGGAGGTAACTGGAGACGAACTGCAGATGGGTTGATGACCTGGGAAACCTTAAACGGACCAATGAATCTCGGGGATAACTTTCGAGACATACCCTTGAGGGGGATGTCTCGGGTAGACAGCCATACCTCCTGTCCAATGGAGTACTCGGGAGCGGGACGTCTCCTGGAGTCAGCAAAGCGTTTTGTGGTTTCAGAGGATCTGTTGAGGGTGGTGATGGTTTCCTTCCAGATCTTCTGGCAGCGACGGATGTGCTGATTGATGGTCTTGACGGATATCTCCTTCTCATCTGCGGGAAAAAGTGGAGGTTGGTAACCATGACTGACCTGGAACGGGGACTGACCGGTGGATGCAGATCTCTGGGAGTTATGGGCGTATTCAATCCAAGGTAGATATTGGCACCAGTCGGTGGGGTTGTTGGAGGTTAGACAGCGGAGGGTGGATTCAAGATGCTGGTTCATACGTTCGGTCTGACCATTGGTTTGTGGGTGATAGCCAGAAGTCAGGGATGACCTGCAGCCAAAAGCTGCACAGAATGCTTTCCAGACTTGAGATATGAACTGAGGACCACGGTCTGACAGAATCTCCCGGGGAATTCTGTGTAACCAGAAGACGTGTTTCACAAGGAGCTGAGCCGTTTGGAATGCCGAGGGGAGCTTCCTGAGAGGAATGAGATGACATGACTTGGAAAAACGATCAACAATGGTGAAAATAGTGGACATACCTCGAGAGACTGGGAGACCGGTGACAAAATCAATAGCAATGTGGGACCATGGGCGAGAAGGGATCGGAAGAGGCTGTAGCAGACCCGAGGGTGGCTGGTGCGAGGCCTTGTTTCTGGCACAAGTGGGACAGGCCAGCACGTATTCCTTTACGTCCCTGTGAAGCGTGGGCCACCAGAAACGTCTAGTAATGAGAGCGATGGTTCTACTGACTCCCGGATGGGCGGAAAATTTGGCAGCATGCATCCATTGTATCAATCGGGACCTGACGGAAGATGGAACATAGGTTCTGTTAGCCGGACCGTTACCTGGGTCGGGTTCCGAGGCCAGGGCGGAGTTAATGAGATCAGTGATCTCCCAGTTCACAACTCCAACAGTGCATGATGCTGGAAGGACAGGCTCAGGTGTCTCAGGTTGATCGACGGAGTAAAGACGTGAGAGGGAGTCTGGTTTCACATTCTTAGATCCAGGTCTGTAGGAGATAATGAGATTAAATCTTGAGAAGAAAATGGACCACCTGGATTGACGAGGGTTGGCCTGTTTGGCTGACTG